GTGCTTTGTTGTGTCCTGCTGATAACAGCTTTCTGCATACTAACAGCTGGGGGTCATTGTACTGCGGTTTCACAGCTCTGCAGCAGAGTGTGTGAGTGCGCGCGAACAAACACTTCTCTGCGCAATAACGGACGACCAAGGTAACCGCAGCATTCCTCTTCCCCCTCTGTCTTAACTCATCTTCCCACAGAGTCACACAAGTTCCCCTGCAACAACACAAATCACATGCACACACGCACACGCACAGCCCCTCTCTTCCGCAATATGTGGCAGGGAAAAGAATATACTTTCTCTCAGCTCGCTCTTTCCAAAGAAAGCTTTCGGGGTGAGGCTGGGTCCAAAAATCATACAGTGCTCATTCCTCAATGGCCACACGTTTACTCCCAGTCATGATGTAACTGCTGCTGAGGCACGATCACGAGCACAGCGTCCATTCATCTCTTAATCACGCCAACAATTACACTCCAGGAATATAATTTTCAATACTCACGCACATACTGTCATATAAGTGCTGCTGTAATTACAGGGGTTGAGGGAAACACTACAAATAGTGCTTACGGTAAACGTTGGATGGCTGATGGACTAATTAACTGACTTGTTGTGACAGTGTGAATATTGTTGAATTTAATTTAATCTAAATTTTTCACATATTTTTTGTTTCAACTACCTTCTCCACCACCACGGGTTCATTGTTTTCCATTGCTTTCACAATAAGTGCAGAAAACATTTGTGAAAAGTTAAGGTTGCATCACATGTGGCACTTTTTCTTCCAAGTAATGAAGGCAACTATAAAAAGAAAGATGTGCAAATGAAACACATGCGAGGCCCTAATATAATAATGATACATGCACATCTTTTCTGTGGCACACCTCCACAAACACATCTTTGAGATGATAATACAGAGCAGTGGATGATGGGTAACAGCGTCTTTTCTATTGATTCTTTTGAAGCTCTGCTACTAAATAAAAGCCCTGTGGGGTCCTGATCCTGATCACTGCAGTTTTTCTCCATTAGGGACACATGCACATGGGCCAGGCACCCTAACCTGAACATACACAGACACACGCACACACATCTGAGAGTCATCTCAGCGGGGGAAACGCTCCATTTCTCTCAGCTTGTGTTTGTTAATGGCTTCCAGCATCACAGCTCATCACAGCGAAGACTACATACACACTTGGTGCACACATAGAAACAATTTCACTCTTCAAACCATGAGCAACTAATTAGACCTTTAACACCGAGGACTGGGACAGGAATTCCATCTGGACTTTCACCAACACGCTCGCTGTGATTCAGTGTGAGTGCAGCGCTGACGGCTACCCGCCATGAGCTCAAGGTTTGGACTAAATCAGCAAGTAGAGGCTGCTTGATTTGAAGGTCTCGCGCTGCTGTGAATGGTTTGCATTGAGCGGGTGGGTGAATTGAAATTTTCAAGGTTACGCCCGCTTTCATCTCCCCCTCGATTAACGTGCTGTTCACCTTTAGAGCGTGGCATTCACTGTGACGTCCCTCGGGATCGTTCCAAATCAAACATACAGTTAAAACCAGCATGCTCTGGTGTGTGCATACGCTCAGATTCACAAATCGCATGCTCTTGCCTCTGTCTGATAAATACAGTGTGCACAGTGAAACATGCTTGGACTCACTGCAGAGTGTTTCAGAGCGTGCAGCAGCTAAAGTTTATCACTGTTGCACTTCAAAGCTCGATTTAGACTCAGTGCTCTCACTTCAGCATCTCCTCGACTTTGTTATGGCCCCGGGCGGCCAGCAATTGTGTGCTGATAGTGTACGTAATGCAGTTCCAAGCTCCCATCTCTAAGTTCAGGGGCACTCGGTTCTCTCACATAATGACTGGGCACCCTCAGACCGTCAGGCCGCCTTGGGCAGTGGCTATTAAACTGTTTTACTGGAGCAAAGATTCTTGGGTACATCTGTGTCTGTGAAACTCTCGAGCTTATCCGGCAAATTCGAGACAGAGGATGTAATCAGATTTAAAACAGAAACAGCACTAGAGCGCTGTGTGGGTGAAGCGCAATACAGAAAGAAGGGATTCATGATGCTAAGCAGGTTGTTGAAAATTGTGCAAGACAATCAGCAATCTACGTCACCAAGATTTTTAAATTAACGTTTGATGAAGAGGGGTCGATTGTTTCAATGCTATTTATGAAAATTACGCAAACTGCAAAATTTAATCACATTAAAATCATGATGTTTATGTTGGACCGTCACCAGACATTATACGTCATTTGTTTTACGGGAAAAACAGAGAGGGAGGTGTATCCAGTATGCAGATGACAAACTGTGTTCATCTAATCCCTCCTGAAGATAGAATGGGGCAATGATTCAATGAAAAGATGATTTGTTGGGGACACAGTATAGCTATGATACACTTTCTACGTCACTGTCTGTCATCCTACATATATGACGTAGGCTGTCTTAATGTTTAGTAAGTAACCAAACAGTAGGGCTGAGCAATTAACCAAAAATGTATCGAAATCAACATTTATAACCTCTACATTACTTAATCTTGCCCATGTCGGTTAATTCAGTTAATATTTTCCCCAGTGTGTGCATTCACAAACTGTTGGGTTTCCACTATACGTTCATTTTGCAGCAGCGGCCAGTGTGCGTTGTACCGTGCTGTATTACCCTGCTGCATGTCCTCCCTCCTCACTCCCCAGCCGGTCTGTGCTCACTCTGCACGTTACCAATAAACACCACTCATCACAAGTTATTAGGACACGAACAGGATTTGACGTTCACTTTGTGTTTGTGTGATTCCCTCTAGAATGTATGAGACATGTATTTAAACAAGTTCCAATATTTTGCTCCACACGAGATGAGACGTGCACAGCCGGGACATCGGGGTTATAGTGACTAAATACATGTTTGAAGAGCAACAGAGACGAGCACATCATCAAGCATAAGACAATTGTTCATTGATCGTCATCGAGGTAAAAGTTAGAAATAATCGTGATATTTATATGAAGTCATATCGCCCGGCCCTACCACACACAATAAACCAGGACTTCACTTTTAGAAAACTAGAACTTTAAAGAACATTTTATCGTGGCAGAAAGGTTTTACTGTGACATAATAAAATGTTGAGTCTAATCGCCTTGAGCATTACCTTTGTAGAGGTTTTTGGGCAGCTGACAGGTGTGGCCGCAGCCGTTGGGGCAGCACTTTTTCACACCCGAACACTCTCCATCCTCCTCGCAGCTCTCCACGCAGGCTGCTGCGAAGCCGCTGGCCTTCTCCGGGGCGGGACAGTCGCCCTGCTTTACGCCCTCTACCGACTTCAGGAACTCGCAGCTCGTGAGACACTCGTAGTGCTTCTTGGGGAAGAGGGGCTGGGGAGTGGGGGAACGGTGACGAGGAGGAGGAGGTGGAGGGAGAAAGGAAAAATACATGTCAGATGCTTTTTAAGACCAACCTGCCTGGCTGCAAACAGGCAGCTCTGTGAGCTAACAGGGATTGTCCTATTTACATTTCAGCTCATGACTCACTGGAGCGGTGAGCACATTGAGCAGCTTTGATTTATCCTCCTAGAGAGAGTGTGTGTGTGTCGTTACAGTGCAAAAAGAGTTACTTCACACTCCTACTAAAGTTTCCCCCTTATTGAATTTTTCCACTAAGTCTGAGAGGCTCAAACACTCTCAAGTCTGAGGCAACCACGGTATTTGTGGTAGTGACATACCTCACATAAATCCTGGCACTGGTTTTCCTTCAGGTCCCAGGATTCCTTGCAGGGCTCCAGGCACTGTGAAAAGGAGAAGGGTGTCAGTTCTTCAAAGAGCCAGCCACATGAAAGGGCCGCTGCAGCGGTGATGGTGCTCTCTGAGCTGGAGCGCTGGCTGCCTGACAGGCACCTCACTCAGCCACTTCCCCCTCCACGTCCACAACAACCACTCACACTTTTGTTTTGTTTCAGATGCCCCTGCTTACTGACACAAACCATCCTCTACAAAAGCAAACACGGGGCACAGTGGTTGTCCATTATGAGCAGACAGGTACACACTTGCCTCCTTGTGTCTAGAAACCTACTGATGCTTTGCTTTTGCTTGGTGTAGGCCCTCAGATTCCTGCTCCATGCCTCAACACTATTATCCTCCAATGCTCTCCATGCCTCATTCTCATCCTGCCACTTCTCCTGCTCATGTCTGGGTCTGATACACTCTGGCACCGGCACTAAACACCCTTCTCTTAACCACGCCGAACAGAGAGCGTTTAATAAATGATACACTTGGTTTAATGTTCTTGGGATTCCCTTTTTTTCAAACACGTGGAACAGATTTACTGAATGCTTGGCACAGGCCCGGGATAAAAGAAAGCCCTCAGTGTGAGTGCAGCTCGGAGTCATTTCGCCAAACATAATGGGATGATAAAAAATTTTGAATGAAAGTTTTACCAATCGAGTCGAACTCCGCTCGCTTTAAATGCAGCAGCTCACCCTGAACGAATCAAATTCAACAAAAAGCCGGCGTAATGTAACACAAAAAAGTCCATGCATGTCCAATAGAATCAGGCGTAGTCCTGCCACAGGAAAAGGGGAATGTGTCGGGATGGGGCTGAAACGAGCCGGGGTCTCATGCGCTCCTGTTGCTGGCCACTGAGAGCGTGGTGCGAAAGAGAAGAGCAAGTTCACTCAAACAGACAAACCACTGCCAGGCTGCTTCTGTGCTGCGCTGGGAGCAGCCAAAACCACACCAACCAGAAACCTGCCAAAGTCACTCATTCAGCTCTGTTTGATTTAGACTCCTGCACCGGCTACAGCACTAAGGCTACATCCGCACGACTACGTTTTCATTTGAAAACACACTGCTACAGAGTTTATGCGAATGCGAAGCGATTTATGCAGGTCAACGTTGAAATGAAGTTCCCCTCTGAAACATTTGCGAATGTTTGAATGGGCCCTTGGTGGGAAAACTGAGGGCCTACATTTTATTCTGAACGTGCAAAAACAGAGATGCTTGGAAATTATGACGAATGTGCTCATGATGCTTGTGTGGACAGAGATTGTTTAAGTTTAAAAAACGTACAAGTATGGATGTAGCCTTTAATACAAGTACATTTAGAGCACATCCACCTCCATTCATTGTCTGGTACAGTCCAATGTGTTGCTCAGTGAGAGGTGGAGACGCGGATAGGGCCGATATGGATATCTGCCATCAGAGAAGCTCCAGTTTTGGCCAGAAGAATGAAAAAAAAATATTATCAGAACAATCTGTAGTGTTATGCAAGGTGGACTGGTTAAATGAGGGCGCCTACTGTGGAGTGTGTTTAACATAGAGCTGATGTAAAAAAAATTCAAATCTCAGTCAGGGAGCCAGAGCTGAATTTATGACTCTTTAATTCACTCATTAGCCAGCTCTGTCATTATTATGCCATTGCCAGTGAAAAGTTTATTTGCTTTTTATGGAGTGCAGTGGACGGCCGTATGATGAAACATAAACCTTGCTTCTGGAGGAACATGCTGCAATCACGACCGTAACACACGCCTGCCAGAGCCCAATTACACTCAGCTTATTCAGCTCGCTGTCGCTGCCCAGCCTCGTCTCAGGCAGCCTCGTCCCTGTGTGGACTCGGTGTTGAGTGTTTAACAGTTCACTCAGAGGAGGAGGTTGGGAAAAGGGAATTTGCTTAATTACTTCACGGCAGTATAGATATCACCACGGTGATATAAAAAGTGAAGTGTTGGAGGAGAAAATCGGACACCTCGGAGGGGGAGCACGTAGCTGTGACAGATGAGAGCTCCAAAAAACAAATGTTTCTACAGAGCTGATCAGGTGAAACCGCTGCAACACCTCAGAGATTTAAGATGACATACGAGCTCAATGTTCAAGTCGTGCCTCATCCTATGGAGGGTCTCTCTAGTTTCATCATCATCTGCTATAAATAATATTGTGACCTCACATCATTAATTCTGTTCTCAGTTGTGTCCACTGAGAGTAAAAAGCTTGGGTCGCGGACCATCAGTAGCAACAACCTCAGCACTGCGGCCTCAGTCGAGCACCGTGCAGTAACTGTGCCATGCACCAGTGTCTGAAGGACACTCTGCCAGTAGACGCACATGTTAAAGCCTCCAAATCCCTTCTACAAATCACTGAACATACACACATAAGCCCGGGGATCAAGCTCATTTTACTCATTGAAAGATCTTGTGTGTGCAGACTGAATGCATTCCATTGGCTTTCCTCGAGGATGAGTCTCTTTCTGGTTCAACACAATCATAACTGCAAAAGTGAAAATAGAACCGTTGTTACTTCGAGATGTTCAGGCTTGCGTGCCAAGCAGGATGAATTAACACAGCACACTGCATAGCAAGGATATTACAAAACTGATCAGTATGCTGGCTGTGCGTTAGGTGTCGTCTCACCCTCGCGGTCCCAGATTCTGGGGGAGGAAGTTCCAGACTGGCACAAACCGCTGTAGGAGCAGTAAAAATACTATCATGAGAGTTGCTTTTGCTAAATTGTCAGATATTTCGTAAACGGCACTCTTAAGAAAATTGCAAGCGTTTGTGTGGAGGCAGTGATAGTTCCCTGCAGGTGTGCTGAAAACTGACAATCTGTCATCGTCTCTCCCCAGCCACACCCACAACCTGACATTTAAGCAGGGAAGAGGAGGGCCGACGACAGATGTCTTGCCAAAGCAAATAGGACGACTGGATATAATTACAAAGGTGCTCTTATCAATCAAATCCTTGATTCCTATTTACAGTTTGGTGCTCTGTCCAAAACCAAAGTGCCAATGCTGCCAGAGACATGCTCAGGAAAGGGCCATGGCATACTCTCATTAAGCTCTTGTGCAATTTTATGGCAGAGCCGCACACATGCAGATACACACTCTTATCATCCAGAATCATGAACCCCTACTTTTTTTTTTAAATACATGACATTAGCCTTTGGCAAGCTAGAATTATACCAATTAGGAGCTAATTGTGAGAAACTAAGAAAAGCAAAACCACGTCCAAACCATACAACTTACTGCATGAGTAAATTGAACTTCATTTTTTTTCAAGTAAGTAGACATCTGCAGTATAACAGAATTGAATATTGTTGGTTTAAAGCCCTCTAACATTTGCACATCTATGTTAGTTAAGCGTTTTTCAGACACGTGTTCTCACGTGCAGCCATTCTGGAATATCGCGGAGAAATTGTTCGGACTTCACTTCATGTTTGAAAGCAGCTTATCTGACTTCTGAGAACTAGGTTGGGAAATACACACACCCTGGAACAGAGGAAGAGAAAGTGGAGTAGAGAACATAATTGAGCTGGACAGTGTATCGGCAGGGTTTTGGTGCCAGTGTCTGGGTCTCCCTCAGGCGAATCTTCCATGCTGGTAACACAGCTACCATCTGTTTGAATAGCATAAAGAATGCATGTAATTATCCTCCATGATGTTAACATATTTCTGGGCGAATTTCAACTTAAAAAAGACACAAATTCTTTTGCTCTGAGATGTAAACAAGCAGCATAAGGGTCGTTTCTATGGACTTGAGTCTGTTAGTCTCAACAAAAAGCGGCTGATTTCCCCTTTGTCCTCTTATCTTCCAGCCCAATAGTGACACATTCTGCATGGGTAAGTAGGAACATCCATAGGACTCTTTCACTCCCCATTTCACGCCGTAATAAAACGCAGCAGTTGTTACTCTGGGGCACCCTGAAAGGCATTCTGTGGGGGCCGATGAGAGAGTCGCTGGCTGAATGGCGGCCAACGCCACAGCCCATCTTCAGTTTGTCATGGCTGGGGATGGCGCTTGGGGGGGTGAAGTTGGGAGAGGAAGAGGGAAGTGGTGGGGGGGTGAGTTTCTGTGCATAAAACGGCCTTTCTCCATCACAGGAGCTTGGTTATTTCCACCTATCGTAAAAAACGCTAACTGCCTCCAAGTGAGTGACTGGAACAACATAAACTATGAAAAAGTGCGTATATAAAATGTCACGCAATTGTTATTCTTTTAGTTAATGAAGCATGAAGGGCTACCAGTCAGGATCCCCCCAGGCTCAACAATACACACTGTGTACAAAATAAGAGACGGGGCCATAATTCATGCTGATCCAGATGACATTTCCCCATATTGCCCGAACATATTTCTACAGTCACGAGCAGATGTGTGAGACGTCTATGACTGATACTGTTATTTTGTAAATGAGATTTAGACAGACACAAAACATGTGGGTACCTGTGCTTCTTCCTGTATCTACACTGTCTGCTGAAACTTGGCCCTCCCTAGTGAGTTCTCTCCCCCATTCTCACAAGCTCAAGAGACGACATCTGGGAGCTGAATTCATCGGTGGCAGCCCTGATGGTCGGCGTTAAGCTCGAGCGGTGCCAACCGATATTAACAAGGTGCCTTTGCTGGCCCTCGGGACGGAGCCGCAGCTCTCAGCTCCACTGGGAGACAGATATGAAGGGATCTGTGTTGTTGATCACACACATTGTAAATCTCACCCCCCCCAATCTCATTGAGTTATGGCGACTTTCTGCTGCCCTGGCGCTTTTCGCACTCCCGGTGACCAGACTCAATTATCCCAGCTGCTCTCTGTTCAGATCTATCGACCCATCCGGGAGTGAGTCGTTTCGGGCTCCGCTCCCTTCTCCATTAAAACAGGCACTTATTCACAGTATTCACTCTCTAATTCACTTTTGTTCGGGCTATCGTCGGCGCTCGACATCCCAAGTTTCTCCTCGCCTCTTATCTACTCTCCGCTCCCATTTCACCCACCCTGCCTGTCATTCCCTCCCTCACTGTCAGACCAT